ATTTAGGGATTTTTTTGGTTACTTGCTTTGGTACAGTTTTTAAGGTTCAGTAGATTTTATGTTCAAAGTGTTTTCAATGATCTCCCATTCCACCTTCCTAAATGCAGAAGAAACCCAGAAATCACATATGTGATTGGGTGAGGTTAACTTTTATATTAGATCTTCTGAAAAGGAAAATGCTTCTTATTCCTTAAAATATGACATCCTGCAATGCAAAGACCTCTTGAGGAATCTGATGAAGGCTCTGAAATGCCTCCCCAACAGAATCCCACATATCTGCAAACTGCAGAAACCTCAGAGGTAATGGACCCCCATGAATCTTTGGAACTACGGAGAAGCAGGCTGAGAAGCTGGGTGTCCAAGAGTCAAACCAGAGCCAGTCCCCAGCCCCACTTCCTCTAAGCAGGTCCACCACAAAGCCAGTGGACTCACCCATGCCCACAGATGGACATCCCATCAGCCCTTCCCACCCCTTCCTGACCACACAGCCAACCATGGTTTTTAAGCCACCAGCCACACACACCCAGGATCCTCCCCCTCAAATATGTGAGAGTAAGAAGGTGAACGGTACCAACCAGGCAGGAAGCAGAAGCTGTCTTCAGAGCCGATTCTCTGGCACAGGCCTGAAGGGAGCCACAGCAAGGAAAAGGCGAGAGCCCCAAGTTACTAGAAGTTGGGAGACCCTGGGAATGCATGTGCCATGTCCAGCAACCACTCTGGTCCTCACGCTGTCCCTGATACACCATGCCTCTCGGGTCCGCTCTCAACTCAAACCATGCTCCCTCCTGCCCAGAGCAAATCTCCCCTCTGGACTCAATTTAAAAGCCCACCTTCTCCATGACAGTTCCCTGTGGACCTCAACTGGCAGCATTTCCTTTCTGAGGCACTGGAGGTGGCAATAGGCAATCGGGTGGGTGACTCTGGCCCTGCAAGTTTCCGTTGTGGTTTCTTAACTAAAAAATTGAGATTTCAGGGCACCTGACCTTCATAGATTCCTCCAGGTAACTCTCATTTCAATTAATCATCACCCCAAATTCTGACTGTAATTATATAGCAAGGGCTGCTAGTTTTGAGTATTATGTGCTAGGAACTAAATATTTTAAATGCACCATCATGTTTTACCTCAAAACAACCCAAAAAGGCAGTATTATATTATCTCCATTTATAAGAAAACTGAGATTCAGTGAGGTAATGTTACATCTCAGGGCTGGAGGGGGGACCCATCCACCAGTCAAACAGCGCCTAGACCAGGGGTTCTTAACAGGAACTGTATTAAAGGGTCATGACCCACAGAAACTGTATTAAAGGGTTGCGGCATTAGGAAGGTTGAGACCTCCAGCCTAAACCAACTACAAAGCCCAGATCCCTAACCGTTATGCCACGCTGCTCTTTTTGGTTGTGAGAGACCCTAGGTGGACCCCTGCTCATACAGGAGAAAAATGGGATTGAGTAAAACTGTCTTCATTCTATAAATAAATTTTATAAATGTCCTCATTTTATAAACTCCTATCAGAAGTAAAGCAGCTTGCCCAAGGTTGTACGATGGCAGGGTCTGTTTCCACTGCGCGGTGCTATGCTTGCTAACTTCCCTGGCCTTGGAAGGCCATGTGCAGACCCGGCTATATTTTGTTAGCATAATAATCACTTTGTCCTTCCATTTTTAAATGTCTTTTTCTTCCTCTTTGATTAGCTATAGCCTGAGTGATAATTCTAAACAAGTGAATTAGTTTTTAGTCTTGGCATAAAAGTGCAGGGTAACAAGGAAATGAACTCCTCCTGCAAGGAAACGTCCTCAGAAAACACGACATGAGAAACACCACTGTTTGTGCCCAGCCCGCCATGCATCTTCACTAGATGGTCTCAACATTAGCAGATATTTTGCTATAACTGACACAAAGAAATAAAGAAGGAAAAATGGAATTTCATGGCTGTTTTCATACCTCAAAGGACAAATCTCACGTAAGAAACTACTATATTTTAATTCCCGTATATGGGCGACATGAGTTCCTAGGCACAGAGATTTTGCCAAATGCCACACAACTGAGAGAGGACGTAAAGAGACCTACAGTGCAAGTAGCAGTGCAAATGTGCCCAGGCACCTCCCACCTGCACGTGGGGGCTCAGCCTGCAGGCTGTTTCCTAACCAGCTCCAGTGAGCTGCCTCACGCCTCCAGGACTCAGTAATACCTTGGGCATACTGGGATAATGTGGCAATGCTAAGACAATACCACCCTTCTGTAACCGAAGCCAAGGGCAGATGGGCCGCTCTGCCAGGAGATCACTGTGGTTTATTCATGTTCTTTCAGACAAAATGGACTAGGGCTGAGTCACTATGAAAGGAGACCATTTCAAAGACATAAAACCTCACCCTGGGGTAAGCGTGGGGCACATTTAGCAAATAAGTAGCCACCCAACACCTTTGGGGCTACCTTCCTCTGTTTTCAGTTGCCCACATCTTTAGTTCCACCTTCTCGTCTTGCCATAACTCATTTTCTCAGCATCTTTTCTATCAGGGTGCAGAAATGAGATTCAGGCACCAGGTACTGGATGGACCCATAGCCAGGTGATGATTCAGAAGGGAGCAAAGTGAGAAAGCAAGTCCCAGGATTTACTCTGGAGAGCTGGCAGCAGGATGCCTGGGCTCTTTGGGAACAGCTGTGGAAGAACCGCCAGTATCAAGACTCAGGTGTTGCCAAGATGAGCTGCAGTGTCAGTGATGAATGATGGCAGCAAGGTGTCTTCCCCGGAGTCACCCTGCACAGTGCTGCTCCAACTAGAGGCAGTGTTTTAGACCAGGACCAATGGCTTGCGTGAACCAACCTCATATCACCAAAGGATAAGTGCACATGCTACATAGAACCTGAAGTGTCTTTGCCCAGAAGTTCCTGAGATGGCAGAGAAGTGCAATCTCGGGAATAGTCACACCTGTGTTCAAACGTGGTTCCCTCAGCTGCTGGCTCTGAGGGAACATGCAATGTAACTCCCAACCCTCAGCTGTCTCAAATGAAAAATGGAGACTATAAAAATCCAATTACATGACTATGATGAGAATTAACTATTAAACAAAGATACTATGAATATGGAGCCTAGATGAGTGCTTGGCATAGTAGATGCTCTAAAATGTTATTTTCTCCCCTACTCTTGATTCTTATACTGTTATCTAACAAATTAATACCTTTTTTCTGAGCAGCCATCTCCAAATCCCTCTAGTGATTTGATAATTTAAAAAAAAAAAATCAAACAGGGAAGGCCTTCAAGCATAACACCACTACAGACATTCTTCAAGCTGGCAACGATCTGCCCATAACACTCTGCGGGTCTGTTTGATCAATGAGCCCTGAAGTCATCCAGTTAGACTATCACCCAGCCTGCATTCCGACATCTCAAATAAAGGGATGTCATTGTCAAATACTCAGTAAAAACCATAGCAATGGAACTTCCCCCAAGTCTATAATCTTAGTAATGTTAATTTTTTTAAGTAATAAGTAGAATCTGGTATGACTTAAAATAGCCCATCCCATGTATATGGCCTATAGCATATAGGAAAAGCCAGGGTCTTTTCCTATATACTTTTGATGGATACAAGTACTCTGGAGAAAAGAAGGGTGTCCTCAGGGAACCTTGCTGAATCCTACCAAGGCCCTTGGTCTCCTTGGTCTCCTTGGTGCTCATGACCACACCACTTGGGAACTGATTCAGGGACTACCTGGCCAGTAGTATTCAGTAAGTGTCATAATATGCTGAGAAAACGTTAGGTACTGGACATTTAGACAGACACAGTGCTGACCTAGTGGAATTTCAGTAGCAGAGAAGAGGAACAATTAGAGAAGCAATGACCACAAATTGTGAAGGGTGTTAAGACAGAGGAAACCCAGGAAGCCATCAGTACACACTGGAATCACACAACTACATGAAACTAACACTAAGAAGGTTCTAATTTTTCCCCATTCTTTGAGCTATTCATTACAAAATCAGTACTCCCAGATAATATTCACCTGACTTTATTTTTTACTTGGCAAGGTAGCTTCAGACAACTTTTGGGGGTCCCTGAACACCACATTAAGATAGCTAAGCATTATCTGAAAAGCAACAAGGAATCTCTGAAAGCTTCTGAGGAGAAGGGTGATGAAACCAAAGATATGCTTAGTTCCAGATGGATAAGGGATGGGAAAGGAGGTGGGGTCCATCAGAGGCCATGTCAGTAACTTAATATACACAAGAAGGATCCTTATGTGAGTATATTCCTACCGAGATATCACTCTCTCTGATTTTTTATATGTGTATTACTTTATTCAGACTCAGAATATTTCTTCAGCAATCAGAAGTATTAAGCAATTCTAGATGTAAGCTCAAAGTAGCTTGATGGTAATTAACATTATAATTATTCCCCCCCCCCCGTGATGAGTTTAAAAGATGATACAGTGTAAAATTATTTACTAGAGCATCTGCCAAGAAAATAAACTTATCCAATAAATAATAACTGAAAACAATGTTGACAACAGTTGTCAAGCTACTGAAATCTGAAAAAATCAATTTAATTGTGATATCTAGTTTAAAAATCACTTAGAATACACCATCCCACAACACAAGACCCCATCTCTAAAAATAAAAATAAATCAGCAGGCGTGGTGGCAAGTGCCTCTAGCCCTCGCTCTTTGAGAGGCTAAAGCAGAAGGAGCTCTTGAGCCCAGGAGTTTGAAGCTATAGTGCGCTATGATCACGCCACTGCACTCCAGCCTGGGCAACAGAGCAAGGCCTTATCTCTTGAAATAAAAAGCAAGCTTAGAATGTAAATACCATGTGCTTGATTAAACTATACCAGCAATTTTTCTAGGACAAGCTATCCCCCAACCCCCAAGCGCCCCTGAGAAAAGCTACTCAGAATAGAAAAGTCACCACTGATGAGTGACATGCATCTCCCTTCCTTTTGTGTGACTGGGAGTGAAGAGAAGGTCAAAGCCATGGTGATTGATTTCTCCAGAATATTGTAAGGATCTTACCCAGCGTCATCCTGGAAGCCTTCCAATTCATCCCGCTGCTCGGCCAGGGTGGCTTCCAAGTCCAGGTAGGTGCCATTGTGGGAGAGTTGTAGCGTGCAGTCATCAAGCTGCAAGAGAAAGAGCCCGTTATGCCTGGCCTGATCCTCTGGTGGGACTAAGTATAGAGAAATCACATCACGTTGCCCTCCTGTGTTTCTTAAAAATCAAGCAAAATAGCTGGGTGCAGTGGCTTACACCTGTAATCCTAAGACTCTGGAAGGCTGAGCCAGGTGGATTGCTTGAGCTCAGGAGTTCAAGACCAGCCGGAGCAACACTCTCTACTAAAAATAAATAACTAGACAGGCATCATGGCGGGTGCCTGTAATCCCAGCTGCTCAGAACACTGAAGCAAGAGGATCTCTTGAGCCTAAGAGACTGAGGTTGCTATGAGCTATGACATTGTATCACTCTAGCCAGGGTGACAGAGTGAGACTCTGTCTCAAAATATAAATAAATAAATAATAAAGCAAGCAAAATTCTGCAATGTGGATTATAACTAGAAGAGCTAGTAAATTAGTGCAAGTAGATGGGAAGTACACTGCGTGCCAAGCAGATGGGGAAGGCGTCTGATCAAGAAGTGGCATTGACGGGACCATCTGGGCATTGGGCCAGCGCCTCTCTCTGCTATATGCGGCTGGGGAGAAGCCATACATTTGGGAAGTGGAAACCAAGGTCACAATGCCAATGTGACCACAGATTAAGAGTCACAGGGCTTACTAGGCAAATTGGGTAAGGAAAACATGCTCTTCCCTTCGATTCAGTGAAATTATTTAATGTGATTATTATTATCCAGATTCTGTGGTCATATCTGGCACATTAAATAATCATTCTTCAGTGAACATTTTTACAAATGAACTTGTAAACAAGTGAAACATTCTCCATCTGAATGGTAAAATATCCAAATTAAAACATACCAACCAGGAAATTAGGTCTCTTTGCTACCAGTCTCTTTTCTAAAAAATTTCATTTAACACACACTTACATGTTATTATGCTCTGGGAACTGTTTTTTGCATTTGTACACAGTAAGTCATTTGATTCTCACAGACTCTGAAAGTTCTATTATTCCCCCTCTTACAGATGAAGGATCTGAGGAATCCCCAATGTCACCATCTGGTAAATGGTGGAGCTGGAAATACCAGCAATCTGATTCAAGGTCATGCAACGTGCAACAAAAATAATTTTATAGTTGAGGGTCACTACAACATGAGGAACTGTATTAAAGGGTTGCAGCATTAGGAAGGTTGAGAACCCCTGATCTAGATGGGTGCTTGATTATCTGCTATGAGATTTCAAACAAGGAATTAGCCTCCTTTGATAGAAAAAGCTTTGCTAGTATCCTCAAGAAGAGAAACATAGACTGTCATCTTGTTTAGAATCAGCATCTGTAACAGGCTGTTCATTCTTGTTAGAGACCCCACAGTTCCTTGTCTCTGGTTATCCTCAACAGAATGAAAGGAATTTGTTCTTTATTATTTGTTGGAAATACCTAGTTAAATCATTTGAAGGGGTTAATCCTATTTGATTCACTTGTTTTATTTCTCCAATAACAGACTGCCTCTCATAATTACTGAAGGCATGCTGGTGAATTTCAGCATTCTTGACTGGCCTTTTATAGGCAGAACATCTGCTCTGAGGAGGCATTTAAATACAGAAGCTGCAAAAAAGAAGAGCTGCCTGCAGAAGAGGTCCCTGGGCCAAGGATCTCCTGTGGAATGAAATCAAACTTTATCATTCCAAGGTGGAAAATTCAATAAGAAACGGGACCTGGTAACACATGCAGTGGACATGTGTGTAGCTGTAATCACTGGCAGTTCGTTCTTGCTTTTAATTTCTACAGCTGCTTGAGAAAGGGTACGTGATCACTCACCAGAACATGGTGTTTCTGCCACACAGATAAAATGTACATAATCTCAAGAACAGAGGTAGCAAAACAGAGTAAAATAATTAGGAAGTGACATGTTTTGAAATAGTATCTTTGTTTTTAAAATAATTTACTCAATGGTGAGTTTCTATAATTTTTAATGGTGGCTATCTTTGACAACATGCTCTCAAAATTTCTGAGAATTTAACAATCGACCCCTTACAGGTCAGCAGGCCAGCAGTGCCAGCACACACAGCTTCCGGTCTTCCCCAACCATTCAGTGGAGGTGTCTAAAGTGAGGGAGCCAGGGGAGAGGGAAGCGGGAAGTGGGTAGGGAGTCACGGTGTACGGCACACCTCTTGGGGGCAGGACACAATTATAAAAGGGACTTTGCCTAACAAATGCAATCACTGTAACATAATTCTTCGTACCTTCAATGAATTTCAAACAATAAAAAATAATAATAATAAAGTAAAGACAGCAGGAAGGGGATGAAAGGCCAAGATACCTGGACCAGGCTTTGGTCCTCACCATCCTCCTAAGCCCTACCCACACCCTTCTCCTTAGTCGGGGAGGATGTGGGGATGTACTAGTTAGTGGCTTTTGTGCCCATCATTTCCATCCCATACCTTCAGATTTTATTCCCAGCAGCCCAGGATGAGCATCCCATCTTCGTGGACCCTGGCCTGGCAGGTATCTGCTTCCATGTGCCCCCGACCAGCCCAGAATCACAAAGTCCGCAGCCTTCCACTAAAAGTATCCCAAACCTTAGCACAAACACCCATTCTCACCATTCCTCTCCTCCCATTCTGGGCAGCATGAACTGCTACCATTTCCACAGTTCAATTTTAACAAAATTATATGTCAGGCACAGGCAGGACACCAAGGAACACATAATCGCCTCCTTCCCTCAAAGAGATCGTTTCATTGAGTAAGTATGACACGCAAACAGAACACAAAAGAGAATAAAACACCATTTAATCAACTGTCACACGTGTGGAAGTTCATCCTCAGTGATATTCCTTCTACGCACTATAATTAGCGTCCTCCACAAAACTGCCCAAGTCTCCCTTCCAGGACAGAAGCTGCCATCACTTCCTAAGTCAAATGTCACAGCCCCAATCCTCTAATTAATGGGTGGACGAGCCCTTCCCCATTAGGGCCGGTGAGTTTCTCAGCTGAAAAAGAGAAGGTGAACACAGGTCCCTCTCTCCTTCTCCCCCTCTCTCACAGCAGTGTCATAGGAGGGTAGACTCAGAGGTTGGCTGCCTACGGAGACAGGACACATGTGCTCCAAGGGGACCCTAACAACACAGCAGCCCGCAAAGACACCACACAAGCCACACCACACAAGCCACTCCACCGCATAAGCCCTGCCAGATCATTATATCTGAGACACATGAGATTAATATTTAAACCATCACATGAGCCAAGGAATAAGGCGAAAGTGCTTCTTGGCCAGACCGATACATTGAAACCATGAACTCTCCTAAATGTTTGAGGGGGGGGTCACTTTCATAAAAAAAACAAATTGATAGGTACACTCAATGAATTCTTCAATCTTTTTGGTCATAACTAAGGAAGAGTAATAAACTTCCAAAAGAATACAAAAGCAATGGGAATAGGCAGTGAGTGGTGATTAATTCCAATCTGGTTAAAGATTTAGACAGAAATATTCAAACTTTCCCTAAGAGTGAAGGACTCGGACACCTCCCTGCCAGGCCAGTCCCTGATGGGGAGTCTCAATCACTACTTAGGCAGAGGCCACCAGATCCCCTCCTCTCACGTCAAATCTCCTCCCAAATGACTTACGGGCCCTGGAATTTCCTGACTCTTCATGTCAACCCTGATCCCCAGGCAGCATGTCCCCACACTCCTTTCTTGGCTCTAGGCTTGGTGGCCAGGACATTGCCGGGCACTTCAGGACATCAGACAAACCAGGAGCCATGTGGGAAGATAACGTTACAGGGCTATTATAGAAGTGCAGGGATTAAGGAAATTTAGGGGCAGTGACAGCACACAGCAGGAAGACTTCAGATTGGGTTGCAGCTCCTACAGCCAGGGGCCAAGATTTTGGTAGGGGGTGGGGTGCTCAGAGGGGAGCCCCTCCCAGATCTCCAGTAAGGGTCTTTCCAAATACCCTGGATTTTGTGCCACTCCACGAGGGTCAAAATGCACCAATAAAATTGGCCCCCCTTCTCTGGAGACATAGAAAGAGACCTCTGCTCCTCATGAGGGGCGCTGTGCAAAGTCATGCTGTGTTCTCTGACTGTTCCTACAGGGACAGTGCATTCAATTAGAAAGGGTGGGATCACCCTCCAAAAAACAAAAAAACAACCAATCATCTGAAAATAAGGCTGATGTCACATCTCAACGTGCCTATTGTGCCCGTTCCTTACTCCGGGACACTGGCAGTTACTGGGGTGGTTTAATGATTATCTAAGTTTGGGCAGCAGCTGATCCCCAGCATAGGCAATAAAATTTCTGTGTAACCCTGAAATAGACTAGCACAGAACCATCCTATAAATACATGTGTATATACCCTAGGCTACCCGCTAAACTAATGTTGGTAATAGTTCAAATGTGAGAAAACATATGCTGATTTTTTTGTTTTAATACATATGCTGATTTTAGAAAGAAAAAAGCAAACCTAAAGAAAATCTCAAATAAACGTCTTTTGCTTCTGTGGTTTGACTGGTCCCCCAGCCATAGATTTTGTGCTTCCTTAGATTCTGTGATTCCTTCACAGCCTCCCAAGGTGGTTTGCAGCTCCTTTCCTAGAGGCAGATGCGCCTCTCCTCCCAGAGTCTGGGCTGCCTGGCCAATAGGGCGGCAGCAGACGTGACCTGGCAGAGAGCTGAAAGGCACTGGCTCACTGGGGCTGTCCTCTCCTGCTGCTCCTGGAACTCTGCCACCACCAGAAGACACTTGGGTAGCCTGCTGGAGAGTGAACGTCTCGGGCTCCCACCCAGAACCTGCCAACCATCACATGTCAAGTGAGGGCAACCTGGATCTCAGTGCCTCCAGATGACCCACCAGCTGGCAACAGACACAGAAGAGAGTCCAGCAGGAATCAGCCAAAGTGACCCATGCCAGAACTGCCCAGCAGACCCACAGCTTGAGGTTCTGACTTGAAGTCCATCTCCTCCCACGAGCTGCCACCCCAACCCACAGTAGACAGGGAGTACAAATTTCACACCCAGAC